AATCCAGCAAACCAAACAAACAAGACAACCAAACAAACAAACCAGCAAACCAAACAAACAAGACAACCAAACAAACAAGCAAACCAAACAAACAAGACAACCAAACAAACAAACCAGCAAACCAAACAAACAAGACAACCAAACAAACAAGACAACCAAACAAACAACCAGCAAACCAAACAATCAAGACAACCAAACAAACAAGCAAACCAAACAAACAAGACAACCAAACAAACAAGACAACCAAACAAACAAGACAACAAACAAACAAACCAGCAAACCAAACAAACAAGACAACCAAACAAACAAGCAAACCAAACAAACAAGACAACCAAACAAACAAGCAAACCAAACAAACAAACCAGCAAACCAAACAAACAAGACAACCAAGCAAACAAGCAAACCAAACGAACAAGACAACCAAACAAACAAACCAGCAAACTAAACAAACAAGACAACCAAACAAACAAGACAACCAAACAAACAATCCAGCAAACCAAACAAACAAGACAACCAAACAAACAAGACAACCAATCAAACAAACCAGCAAACCAAACAAACAAGACAACCAAACAAACAAGACAACCAAACAAACAAGACAACCAAACAAACAAACCAGCAAACCAAACAAACAAGACAACCAAACAAACAAGCAAAGCAAACAAACAATCCAGCAAACCAAACAAACCAGCAAACCAAACAAACAAGACAACCAAACAAACAAGACAACCAAACAAACAAGCAAACCAAACAAACAAGACAACCAAACAAACAAGCAAACCAAACAACCAAGACGACCAAACAAACAAACCAGCAAACCAAGCAAACAAGACAACCAAACAAACCAGCAAACCAAACAAACAAGACAACCAAACAAACAAGACAACCAAACAAACAAGACAACCAAACAAACACACCAGCAAACCAAACAAACAAGACAACCAAACAAACAAGCAAACCAAACAAACAAGACAACCAAACAAACAAACCAGCAAACCAAACAAACAAGACAACCAAACAAACAAGCAAACCAAACAAACAAGACAACCAAACAAACAAGCAAACCAAACAAACAAGACAACCAAACAATCAAGCAAACCAAACAAACAAGACAACCAAACAAACAAGCAAACCAAACAAACAAACCAGCAAACCAAACAAACAAGACAACCAAACAAACAAGACAACCAAACAAACAATCAAACAAGCAAGCAAGCAAGCAAGCAAACAAAAAACAATCAATCCAGCAAACCAAACAAACAAACCAGCAAACCAAACAAACAAGACAACCAAACAAACAAGACAACCCAACAAACAATCAAGCAAGCAAGCAAGCAAGCAAGCAAACAAACCAGCAAACCAAACAAACAAGACAACCAAACAAACAAGACAACCAAACAAACAAGCAAACCAAACAAACAAACCAGCAAACCAAACAAACAAGACAACCAAACAAACAAGCAAACCAAACAAACAAGACAACCAAACAAACAAACCAGCAAACCAAACAAACAAGACAACCAATCAAACAAGCAAACCAAACAAACAAACCAGCAAACCAAACAAACAAGACAACCAAACAAACAATCAAACCAAACAAACAAGACAACCAAACAAACAAACCAGCAAACCAAACAAACAAGACAACCAAACAAACAAGCAAACCAAACAAACAAACCAGCAAACCAAACAAACAAGACAACCAAACAAACAAGACAACCAAACAAACAATCAAACAAGCAAGCAAGCAAGCAAGCAAACAAAAAACAAACAATCCAGCAAACCAAACAAACAAACCAGCAAACCAAACAAACAAGACAACCAAACAAACAAGACAACCAAACAAACAAGCAAGCAAGCAAGCAAGCAAACAAACAAACAAACAATCCAGCAAACCAAACAAACAAATCAGCAAACCAAACAAACAAGACAACCAAACAAACAAGACAACCAAACAAACAAACAAGCAAGCAAGCAAGCAAACAAACAAACAAACGAACAATCCAGCAAACCAAACAATCAAACAAGCAAGCAAGCAAGCAAACAAACAAACAAGACAACCAAACAAACAAGACAACCAAACAAACAATCAAACAAGCAAGCAAGCAAGCAAGCAAACAAACAAACAAACAATCCAGCAAACCAAACAAACAAACCAGCAAACCAAACAAACAAGACAACCAAACAAACAAGACAACCAAACAAACAAACAAACAAACAAGCAAGCAAGCAAGCAAGCAAGCAAACAAACAAACAATCAATCCAGCAAACCAAACAAACAAGCAAGCAAGCAAACAAACAAACAAACAATCCAGCAAACCAAACAAACAAACCAGCAAACCACACAATCAAGACAACCAAACAAACAAGACAACCAAACAAACAAACAAACAAGCAAGCAAGCAAGCAAGCAAACAAACAAACAAACAATCCAGCAAACCAAACAAACAAACCAGCAAACCAAACAAACAAGACAACCAAACAAACAAGACAACCAAAC